CTTTCACCCTCCAGGCGGCTCCCAACAAGTCCCCGCTTCTTCTCCCGGTTCCTGCCCCTCCTTGCAAGGCTTTGGTTCAGGCCAGGAGTGGCTACATCATTTGCAGGCCCCAGAGCAAAATGAAAACATGAGGCCTCTTGTTCAAACATCATTGAATTCAAGATGGCAATAGTAGAGCATTGCACCAAAGTGTAGGGCCCTTCAGTGTGTGGGACCCTACATGACCACACAGGTCACACACACATAAAGCTAGTCGTGGTTCTGGCCCTTCCCTTTGGCTGCGGTTGGGACCCACCCACAGTCACAGGAAATGAAGTCTTCCTATGTCAGACAGAGCCCTCCCCCAGGCCTGCCCCACACTTCCCTGTGTCCAAGTCCAGGCCTGTCCTAGATGCCCTTATCCCATGCTGCTCCTGAGGAAATCCCAACTCCACTCTTCAGAGAAGCTTACCCCTGTTAAATAAAAATAAAAAATGCACTGGCCGGTGTTCTCAATGGTTAGAGCACTGGCCTGAGCACCAAGTGGTCACGGATTCGATTCCCGGTCCAGGGCACATACTTTGGTTGCAACCAATCAATGTCTCTCACATTCATGTTTCTCTTTCTCTCTCTCCCCCTCCTTCTCTTTCACTATCTCAAAAATGTCAATGGAAAAGAATATCCTCGGGCGAGAATTAACCAAAAAAAGAGAAAAAAAGAAAAAAATTTACTCATGACACTTGTTAGAATGGTAAGGAAGTCTTTATTCAAGAAGGGCTACAGCAACCGAGATTTGTAGTAGGTGACAGAGTGGGCTCAACTCCAAACACATGAAAAGTAGAATTTATGGCCAAGGACCAGACTGGGGGTCAGTGGATGGAAAATTACAAAGCCCAGCTGGCGTAGCTTAGTGGTTGAGAGCCTCGACCTATGAGACTCTCAACAATCAATCAAGGTTTGATTCCGGGTCAGGGCACATGCCAGGGTTTCAGGCTTGATCCCCAATGCGGCCACATGCAGGAGGCAGCCAATGATACTCTCTCATCATTGATGTTTCCATCTCTCTCTCCCTCTTCTTTCCTCTCTGAAATCAATAAAAATATAATGTTTCAAAAAGAAAAGAAAATTACTAAGAGAAAACCTCAGGGCATTCTGGCTAAATAGACCACAGGATTCTCACGGAAGACAGGCCAGTGACCACTGGAGGATGAGGAACCAAATTAAATGTGCAGGGTGATGTAGTATAGGGGATGGGCAATTCTGGCTAAACTAAGGATTCTTGCTAGAACTGGGCTGTATAAGAAAGGTCACCTTCCAAGGTCAGACCTAGTCCAAAAGAGCTCAGAAGAGCCTAACAAGCCCTGGCTGTTGGTTGGGTTTCATCCATGCACCAAACAGTTGCCGGTCAGGGCACAAGCCCGAGTTTTGGGATGGATTCCCAGCGGGGCCGGGGGGGGGGATATTTTTTCGATCAATGTGTGCTATTGCGTGGATGTTTCTCTCTCTCCCTTCCTCTCCCTCAAAAAATAAAAAAATTAAAATAGCTTAACCAAAGTTTGGCCAACCTTTGTCACCTCCACTCCATCACCTGGAGTGATAAATGAGCCCGCTCTCCTCTGAACTCCCATGGCACTCCCACCTCATCTCACATGACATATTTCACTTTTGTTGCAGGAAACCACACATTCTTTTTCTTTTCTGAATCCACAAGGTGATGGTTTGCCACTGTGGGGCCTGCATCGTCTTTGGAGAAAGGATCACTAATACCTACAGCCCCAGCCCCCCAGTCTCAAATTTCCTCATGCTCCCTCTGCCTCCTTCACTATTGACTTGATCGCTATATTTGCACTGCACTACATGGCCATGTGTGTTGTCTCCTTCCTCCACCCACCGGGGAAAGGGCCAAGAAGGCAGACGCCATGGCCACCTCAGCTTCCTCACCTGGGAACCACGCCAGGAGGCCCTGAGGGAGGCAGCAATACATCACTGTGCAGTGAATAGCACCTAGCTCTGGCACCCTGGAGCTTGACAAACCTCGTTCACATCGGATGCCCATGGGGGAATGAACTCTAGGAGTAGGAACCTTTCCCACCTACCCCCAGTTCAAACTCATGTCAGTCAGAGGAGGAGTCTGGTCCCTCTTGACTCTAAAGCTTCCCTGTGCTTTCTGGGGTGGGAGCCAGAGCAGCTCTAGGGATAACAACAAGACATGAGCCCAGCCGGTGTGGTTCAGTGGTTGAGCGTCGACCTATGAACCAGGAGGTCACGGTTTGATTCCTGGTCAGGGCACATGCCCGGGGTTGCAGGCTCAGTCCCCAGTGTGAGATGTGCAGGGGGCAGCCAATCAATGATTCGCTCTCATCATTTATGTTTCTCTCTCTCTCCCTCTATACAAAATATATTTGTAAATATATTACAAAACAAACAACAAAAACAAGACATAGCTCTGGCTGGGCAAGGCCCACAGTCCAGAGGTGAAGGGACAATTCCAGCAGCATAGAAAGAGCTGGTGGAGAGGCATATCGGGGCTGTGGGCACAGGGAGGTGCATTGTCCTCTGATTTCAGAAAAGGCTTCCCTGTCCAGCCGAGGTGGCTCAGTGGTTGAGCGTCCACCTTTGAACCAGGTCATGGTTCAACTCCTGGTCAGGGCATGATCCCCAGTTGGGGGTGTGCAGGATGCAGCTGCTCAATGATTCTCTCTCATCATTGATGTTTTTATTTCTCCCTCTCCCTCTCTGAAATCAATAAAAATATATTTTTAAAAAAGGCTTCCTTAATGAGACAAGATCTGAGCACAGTGAGGGGGCTTTGCCTATAGGAGGAAGGCCCAGAGGGCTGCTGTGGTCAGAAGGGGCACCACTCTCAGTGACTCAGGGAACTAGACTGCCAGAAGCTTTAAGTGACAGGCTGAGGGGCCCGGGGAGCAGATACTGAGCTGAGAAAAGGAGGGACCAGGGGTAGGGAACCCAGGGTGGGGCTCACCACAGCTCTGAAGAATTGGATGCCTGGGCCTAGTCTGCTGGTGGAGGGGTCCCAAGCGGCCTGCCAGGGGCAGGAGGGAAGAGCTGCCCTGAAGCAGTAGCCACTACAGTGGCACCTGTAATTGTCTGGTCCCAGAGCCCTAGAGCCACCAAGCTGGCTTGGGGACTGGGAACTGGTTCGCCAGGCAGGGATGAGCTAATAGGGATCAAGTTTCCTCTGAGACACTCCAGCTTGGCTCTCTTGAGCCCTCCCCCTGCATCTGGGCCTGGTCTTGGTTTCTGGCATAGCTGCCAAGTTTTGGTACCGCCCACCCACTCCCCACTGGCAGTACTGGCAGGCCCAGATCTCTAATTGCTGGGTGAGGAGTTGTTCTGCAGAGGTGGTACACGGAAAAGTGGGCCCTGGCCATTGTGGGGCATGTGGGCACCCAGCCCGACTTGCTCGAGGCCTTGAGGAGGGTGTGGCCCAGACTCAGGGCAGCACTGAATGGGGCGGGGGGGGGGGGGGGGGGGGGGGTGGCAGGGTCCCCAGACCTTGTGCCAATCCTGGCTCAAGAGAGGGCCACTGGCCCAAAAACCTTGGTTTGGGAGGGTCTGAAATGGATACTAAGGCCTATGGGGGACTGAAATGCCTACCCCAGGTGTTCCCTCTCCCTCCCCAGGCTGAGGGGTGGGCCTAGATAGGTCTCAGCTAGGCCCAGGGGTCTGTCCTGGTCACAGGTTCCACTAGCTAAAGGGACTGGAGCCAGGGGGCAAGCAATGGAGCAGAGGGAGCGGCAGGAAGCAGCCCAGGAGCCCCAAACACACCCCCTCAGACACACCTACCACCCACAGCACATCTACACACACCTGCCACTCACAGGGCCAGACGCACCATCCTCTTGGCAGTCAGTTCACACACCCCTCTCCACCCTGAAAAGGCAGGGCACACTGGCTCACTCTACAGCCCAATCCACACCCCATGCACAGGCCCCACCTGCAGGGCCTGAGTGGCTGCCAGGCTTGGCAAGGAGGGCAGGGCACAGCCACTGGGAGCCAACTGGGGAATCTCTGCTGAGAAGTCCTCTAAGGTTGTGCCTGCCCCACCAGAACAGACACTGGGAGGGGAGAAGTCTCTGTGTGCTGTCTCCCCTGGGGCAGAAAGATTCACACCTGAGCCCCCATGCCCTGGCAGCCTAACAGTGCCTGGCAGAAGGGAAACCCTCAATGCATGGCAGCAGTCACAATGATTCACCTGTAAGGGCGCCAAGCTTCACTACAAGGGCAAGGGGTGGGGAGATGCTACCTGCACAGCCAGTCTGGGTCTGTACCAGGCCAACCTCCAGGAGGGAGCCAAGGCCCAGAGAGGAAGCCAGGTGTCTGAGAGGCAGGGGCTGCTTTTCAGAATACAAATGAGCTCACATCTCACCCCTGCTTGGAAATACTCCAGGGTCCTCCATGCCTATTGGGAGATGTCCATGATCCTTGCAGTGGCAAAGGCCCGTTACCCACTGACCCACAAGCTTTCTCTGCTCCATAACTTGTCTCCTGCACCTTCCCAAAGCCCCATCCCTGTGTAGAGGGGACCACAGCCAGACAGGAAGGTGAGAGGTGGGTTCCGGGCGGGACAGGTGCCTACAGGAGCCTTGGGGAGCTCCAGAAGAGGCCGTCTTAGGCTAGCCCAAAACCCAGCAGGGGCCTGGGCACTGGGGCTCAGACTTTCCACCAAGGGAACGTTTCATGTTCTAGCAACGCCTTGGGTGACTTGCCCTTTTGTTTTCCTGGGTTCCCTGGCATTGTTCCTTCTGAAAAATCCCACTGGTGCTGAAGAAAGGAATTTCAGCCCACACGGCAGCTAAGGAACCATGTGGTGCTGGGGCAAGGAGGATGACTCCTCCACTTGGCAACACACGTGCCCAGCAGCTGTGCACACAGGAACTGGGCACAACCTCCCACTGACCAGGACTCTGGGAGGAGCTATAGCCCAAGTCCACAGCCCCCCGACCCCAACCATCCTTGATCCAGGCCGGGGAAAGGCCCAACGTATCACCAAGGGCCTCCTCATAGAAAACGTGGTTTTATTCTGGGGGAGGCCAATGTTATTGTCCCAGCCTTCCTCCCTCATGCCTGCCCATCTACATCTTGAGCGCCTCATCTCCCAGTCTCCCTTTCCTAGGGCCACACCTACTCCAGGAACAGGCTGGGTCCTGCAGGGGTACTTTTCAGCCAAGGTGGGCCTGGACCTGGCTCCTGCTGCTGGCACCCTACCCAGCCCACAGCCCCTCTGGGATCCCTCCTCTCGGCGAGCCTCCCCGGCCCTGGCTGGCTTCAGCAGATTCTGCCCCATTTCAATGTCAGGAAGGAGCCGGCCATCTCAGGGAGGGCTTGCCCAAGCCTTCTTCTGACGGTGCTTCTGCTGTCAGCTCTCTCCACTGGCCTCAGATCTTGGAGGACTCAAGCCGAGGACTCCAGGGTGTGGAGGGCTCCCGCAGCGCCTGCAATTCCTGTTCCAGTGCCTGGTTGCGGCGGTACATGTCCATGTAGCCCCCCTGGATCTCTCGCTGGTAGCGCAGCACCCGCTCCTTCTCCTCCTGCCAGGTCCGCCGCTCCTGCTCGAAGCGTAGCGCCTGCTCTTGGCCTCGGAGTCGCTCCTGCAGCAGCTCAGCCCGCAGCTGCTCAGCACCATCCCCAGCCTCACTGCCTCCTGCCTCCCCCAGCAGCCCCCGGCTCTTGCAGTCATCAGTCTCACAACTACCTGGGGCTTCCTCCCGGGGGGCCTGCTCCTGCAGGCTCCGCACAGCCTCGCGCAGCCGGGCCAGCTCTGCGTCCTGGGCCTGGGCTTGTGCCCGGCTGCCCCGAAGTTGTGTCTTTAGGCTGAAGATCTCGGCCAGTTTCTGCGCCAGCTCGGCCTGGGCCTCCCGCAGCTGCTGCTTCAGGAGGCTGATCTCCGCTGTCTTCTGGCACACCTGGAAGGGGCACAGTGGGGGTGAGCACCCAGCAAGGCTGGTTGGGGTGGGCAGAGGAGGGGGCTGCAGAAATAGGGACAGGAGAGTTCCTGAGAGCCCGGTCTCTCACCTCCCATCGTGCGTCCTCCTCTGGCCGAGTGTTGGGGTCAGCCTCTGGAGGCCGATGCTCAGCGGCCAGGCCCTGCTGTGCCCGCAGCTCCTTGCGCAGGCGGCGCTGCTCCTGCTGGGCCATGAACAGCTGTAGCTGGAGGTTTCGCTCGCTGCGCTCAGCCTTCTGGGCCACCTCGTGCAGCCGCTCCAGGTACAGGCGCTTCAGCTCAGAGAGCCCCAGC